AAGTTCTTTGGCTAAGAAAACTCCTTAAAGATTTGGGATATCCGCCGAAGGGTAAATGTAGACTGATGTGCGATAATACCGCTGCTATTCGTATATCAGAGAATCCAGTACAACATGATCGTACCAAGCACATCGAGATTGATCGTCACTTTATCAAAGAGAAACTCGAGGCAGATATCATCAGTCTTCCATATGTCCGATCTGAAGATCAATTGGCAGACATTCTCACAAAAGCAGTACCAGCTGGATTCTTTCAAGCAACATTAAGCAAGTTAAACATCCGAAACAGATGATTCAACTTGAGGGGGAGTGTTAGAAATGTTAAACAAAGGAATAGTATCAAACAAAGGAATAATATTGATGACTAAGATAATATCCTTGATTGGAATCAAATTACCAATCAAAGATAATTCCACTTACCTTCCTTGATTGTCTAGATTATTCACTTTGTAATATTTATACTTATCATTTGATGATGAATTGAATAAGATGAATATTATGCTGTGAATTCATTCTAATATTTCTAATATCGAACACCACCTCTTGAACGACTGCTTGCTTCTTCCTCTTCTTCTCTTTTATGTCAGCAGCAATCTCTTTGTTGTTGTAGTAGTCATTGAAACCGATTCCCATATTTTTAGGTCGCGGCTTTGCTTCAATGGGAGCTGTGATGCCTTGTTCATTCTTCCCGAGCCCACCTCCTACTTTATAACCCATCTTTTCCAGCAACTTCATCCCAATTCCTTTCGTGTGCTTCTCAAAAACACCAAAATCACCACTTGTTTCTCTTCTCCCCTAAACATTCCTCGGCCTCTTCCTTGAGGAACCGAATCCCGTCCCCTCGTAGTCTGATGATTCTTCACGGTCTCCACATGTAAATACACCATGGACAAATTCGTCTTTCATCCACTCATCATCCATATTTTTAGAGCAATCGATTTTATTAATTAAAAAAAAAAAGGAAAAATAAAATACCCCTGTAGATCGAAGAAGGAATGATTAGATCATCCCCTTCCTGAATCGTCGTCTCCTCGCCTAAGAAAGAAGAAGAACAAGAAGATTTGGACTGCAGAATTGGAGGGAATCAATGAAATTCACCAAGTCAGATTTTTCTATTTGACAAAAAAAAAATAAGTCAAGAGTAGACATATGCTTAGAGATGGAGGTAGTAATATATATACAATTTAAAATACTTTTGACCCCTAATTTTAATTTAAGCAAATAAATAATGATATATGGAATAAACCACTTGTTTTCTTAAAAACAATAATGCCGAGGGCAATATTCGTATATTTTGAAATAAATGCAATTCATGACAAATGTACTTTGTATGACTCAAAGCTACTCGATAAATTCACTCCGCTAATGGTAAATGTCAACTCAGCCACTCATGTGACAAACCTTTAAAAAAAATTTGAACTAAGATACCTTGTGGGCAGTTACTTTGTAAAAATAATACTCTCTCCGTCCTAAAAAATAACTTCTCGTTTGACTTTTGTAGTCAAATTTTTTAAACTTTGACCGTATGTCACACAAAAAATAAATTGAATTTTCATATAAATTTATTAGCTATACATTTATTTTGAAACATAGTTTTGAAATATATAATTTTTTATAAAATATATTTATATAAAAATTGAGATATTAGTGGTCAACTTGTCGCGTTGAAGACCATGAAAAGTCAAATGGGAAGTTAATTTTAGGACGGATGGAGTAATAAAATTTAAACTACTTAAACTACACTAAACGATCGTTTTGTTTGAGAAAACCTCTTAGATCATGATCAATGGTTGTTTATTAGGGTAATGAATGTTTTATGAGAAATTTACCTAAATAGGACTAATACATAATGACTTTTCCAATATAGGATCATATGTTTTTATTTCCCAATATAAGACTTTTGGTCATTATCAAGTAGTCATTATTCAAGTAAACGTCTATCATTACCGGACATTATTCCTCCCACTAGGTCATTATTAAGTCCTATTTAGGGAATAAAAAAGTTTAAGTCCTACATTGGGAAAGTCATTATGTTTTAGTCATATTTAGTGCAAATTAATCAACTGGTACACAAAATTTTACTTTTGCTAATTTCCAAAAGTAGGGCTGGTATTACTGGAAACCTTTTTTAATGACTAGAATGACTAAAATAACCCTGGCCGCTGGATTTGGAGAAACGCGCAAGCCGCAATTTCCGTAAATCTAGAGACATTTACGAGAAGAAATCTAGGGAAACGAGAAGATAATCGATCAGGGCATTAAACAATCCATGCTCACCTTCTCTTGATGCAAATCTAAAGGAGCGAAAATAGAGAGAGAGCTCGCGAATCTAGGAAAGCGATACCAATGGCTTCCATGAAGGTAACAATGGCGTCTAAGAAAGGTGAAAGCGAAGACAGCAATTTTGTGACGAGGGAATCCGATGATATGCTTCTGATAATGCCTAACGGACTCGTAAGCTTTGAATTTTACAATTTCAAATTGATGAACATGAATTGAACTTTATGAAATTGATTGAAGGCATGCATTCTGTTACTGTTGATTGAATTCAATAGTTATGAGTTTTCGATTGAGCATGTCTACAATGTCGTCTATTAATGTCTACTTGGTCTAATTATTGTCTATTTGGTTTTATTAATGTCTAATTATTACAGTTTTTTCATTGAGATATAAGTTTTGAAGGCTTAAGAGAATCATAAATCCAGTAGATGAATTTGTGCTTTGAACAATTCAATTGTGGTTGTGTGTAATAGGAAAAGTCTGATAATGTCTACCTGGATTATTACAAATTATGAGACTGTTTCGTTGGCGTTTTACTGTCTACTCGTCTTTTAATAAGAATAATGTCTAATAATGTCTACCTGAATTATTACAAATTATGAGAATATGTGTTTTGTTAGCGTATTACTGTCTACTAATGTCTATTAATAAGAATAATGTCTACCTGGATTATTACAAAATATGAGACAATATGTTCCGTTGGCGTATTAATGCATGTTAGGCATTTGAATGAATATAATGATATTTGTGGATGATGAGATAGTTTCTTTGGTTAGTTAATGAATGTCCTGTTAAGTCTTAAAATGAATATAATGACATTTTTTATTGGGCCATAAAATTTTGATTGCTTATGAGAAGCATAAAGTCAAGCGGATGTTACTGTGCATTGAAATTGGTGTGTTAATGTCCTCTAAGGCATTTGAATGAAAACATAAAATACTTTCTAATGCAATTTGTATTGTGTTTTGGAAACGAAGTGAACAGAATTTTGTTTAATGTGACAGGTCTATAAACGCCTATGTAAGCCGAACCTACTGGATACAAAAACTGAAGCTAAAATCAATTCATACTGCAATGTTGGTAATGGGGTTAAGAAGTTGAAAGAAATGCTTTCAAAAGATGAACTAAGTGAATTTCGAAAGACTGCCTTTGGATATTGGTTAGACATTGGAGAATTGAAATGTGTTAATGGCCAACTTATGATTCTTCTCACACTCAACCATGTGGAGCCGATGGACACACTGCACGCCTATGAAGAAATTTCATTTTCCATTTGTGGCAGACTGATCAAATTCACAAAGAAAGACTTCCAGGAGGTGAGTGGTTTTAGGTTTGGGAGCAGCACTGAAAAAATGGAGAATTATACAGAACCAAGTGACATAAGTAAAAGATACTTCAATGGTCAAATGAATGTGACAAGAGAAGATGTGAAGATTGAATTTGAGAGAGTCAAGAAAAATAAAAATAGAGAAGCTTTAGATGCAGTGAAGTTGGGACTCCTATACATGTTAGGGACCTGTATAATTGGTAACCAACCAAGTATTAAACCCCCTGGACTGTATCTCCACTTGGTCGATGATTTATCTAAGTTTAATGAGTATCCATGGGGAGAAGATGTGTGGAAAGATCTGGTAGAGAATGTTCAGAAATGCTGTTGTATTATGAATACAAGCAAGAAACCAAGGTTCAATTTCCCTGGATTCCATTTCGCTTTATAGATATGGGCATATGAAACATTTCCAGCACTAATGCAAGAGAAGGGATGTATACTGGACGAAAGAAAGAAGACATAATGGCCAAGGGCATTGAGATGGTCAGCGGACTGGAGGACCACCAAAGAGTTGTTGGAGAAGAAAATATTCAAAAATGAAAAGGTAAAACTTAAAAAACAAAAGAGATGTGTGGGGTACTGTTTTGTATATAATATTGTATTTTTTTATCAAAATTAAATTTGCATTGAATAATAATATGCCATTATTTTGATTTGCAGTTTGAGTGGACAGAGATGGTAATATCGGATGAAGGAAAAGTCATTCTAAAAAAAAGCCAAGAACCGCCTATCTCTTCGGATACTAAAGATGACAATGCTAGAAACAGCTGTTGTGAGTGAACATGGGGATGCTTTACATGCTACAGCAAATGCCAGAAAGAGGAAAAGCCCCGAGCAATGCATCCAAAAAGGGAAAAGCCCCGAGAAGACAAAAATGAATCCTAAAAAGACATCAAAAACACACAGTCCTCAAATCATTTTGGAGAAGAATGGTGCCAGAGATGAGAAATGGAAGAATGAAACATTGAACAAAATAAAATCTTTGGAGAAAATGGTGAAGAGTATAGCAGCTAACATGGCAGAGAACAATAGAAAAGTGTTAAATGAGATACAAGAGTTCAGAAAGGAAAACCAGAAACAATGAGGATTGGTTGAGGAATGCCTGAAAAATGCTGGCATTTTGGGGAAAGCACATAGTAAGGAATCCAGCAAGAAAGACACTCAGTTTCCAAGTGTTGATTTATGCACTGATCTACATTGTACACCATAGGCTGCTCATAAAAAGGAAGGTCAAACTTTGGAACAAGATAAGACTGGAGACTGTGTAAAGGAGAAGGGAGAAGACATGGACATTGATTGGATGAATGGGCTGTTGACTGAGGCAAACACTGATCACAATTGCCAGGTTTGACACTTAAATTTTTAGCAATTAACATCCTGACAATGACCATATTTAATTGTTCATCTTGATGACACAGGAAACTATGCACGTGGTTGAAGCTGATTTGGGAACATTACATAAAATCAGTGACCAGGCATTGACAATAAAGTCATTGACCAGCAGGTATGTACTAAAACATATAATGCAAAGCTACATGATTATGTTTAATAAAATGGTTGCAATTGGAGTTGAAATTACATACTAAGAGATAAATCACGCTATAGGTGATGGAAGATGGTTTGGAGGAAGGCCAGAAAATGGAGAGTGTCATTGACAATGTGGAAATAGCATCACAAGCTGCTCCGGTATATTTAGTCTAGTTTATATGGAACATTTTTCAGTTGGTAGAGTGTCATTTTGTTTATTTCCAATGACTAATTGTTGCATTACATTTGATTTGTACAGGAAGTAGAGGAATTGGATCCAGCCATTTGGGACATTAGTCCTTACTCTGAACAACCAAAGGTCGTAGAGGGTATCATCAGTTATTTGTTTGCCACTGAACAAGTCCTCACTGATATTCCAACTGAACCACCACAAATTGTCAATGATATTCCCAATGAACCACAACAAATGCCCAATGTTGTTCCCATTGAACCACGCCAAGTCCTCACTGATATTCCCACTAAACAACCACAAATCCTCAATGATATTTCCACTGAACCACAACAAGTCCTCAATGATGATCCCAGTGATGGTATAGATGCTGAACCACAGCTCAATGTTGGTCAACTTGAGGACATTCAGGATGAACAAGCAGAAGGCCTTGATGCTGAAGAACAACACACTAAGGATATTGCCATTGACCAACCAGAAGACACTACAAGGTAGAAGAGGGTTGTCAAATGCCCAGATAAGTTTACTCATTCTGACAAACAATTAAAGACAAGAAAGGCAAAGAGCAGACAAGGACCACAGACATCTAAACAGAAAGCCATAGATGGTGGTGATGACAATTCACAACCCAACAATGTGGAGGCCGAAGCTGGCATGGCAGAAAGTCATCCCGAAGGGCTGAAATTAGCATTAACTACTGAGAATGTGGAGTTTTTTTAGCACAAGGTCTCATAAGCAAGAAGAAAAAAGACACAAAGTACACAAGCCAGGAAAATGCTTTAAACCCAGAAGAACTTCGGCCACTGTGGGGGCATGACGAAACAATGACAAAAACATGGTACTATGGATATTTCTACCCTGATGAATGGATGGATGATGTGGTAAGTATGAACATACACATTTTATTAAACGATTATAAAAATATGGTTATGGATTTTTAAATATACTAATGACTTACAATGCTTTATCAACTACAGCATGTAACTGTAGCCTTGAAATTCATGGTCATGAAAGCACAAGAATATGGATTGACCCAGCCATTTGCAGTAAGAGACAGCCTATTTGTCAGTCTATTGAAGAGAGAATATGACAACTACTTGGGAAAAAGGAAAACCATTGCTGAAGCAGCATTGAACACTTCAATACTGAAACCAATCGTAGGGGCTGTGCCAGAATTGGGAGGACGCTGGGAAGAATGCGATTACGTTTACATGCCAATCAACACTGGAAACCATTGGATATTGGTTGTGCTTGATATATCAAAGAAATGCATCAGGCTATATGATTCTAACAGCAAGGGGAAGACCAGTCGCCACACAAAACCATACCTTCCATGTCTACAGATCTTACTGCCAAAGGTGATGGACAAACTGGAAGTGTACAAGGAGCGGAAAATGCCTGAGATGGGAGATGATGTGCTAGGCATTGTGAACGTAAATGATTGCCCACAACAGCAGGACGCATAAGTTTGTAGATGTTATAAATGTCTTTTCTAGGTACCTAATAACATGTCATATACTTAAAGCACCATAATGTCCAATGTATGTAATAATATGCAGGGTGAGCTGTGGCATATTCGTTGTAAAGATGGCTGAGCATCTAATCATGGGGATGGAAGTGGATGAAGTGGATGTTGCAGGCATTGGGAGTTTCAGGAAAAAATTTGCAACAGAAGTGTTGTTATATGCAAACAGGAGGGCTGACCGGGCTGACCAGGGGGGCTGAGCATTATTGGCATGGGAAATGTAAACAAGTTTTATAAACTTTTATGTTTAAGTATGATGTTGTAGTAGTTGCACTATGGGGTTTAAGTGCAGTATCAGTACTTTTCCTATTATTAGTAATATGTGTTGTAAGTGCACTATCAATACTTTTTAGACAGAATCTTGTAATATGGTTGGTCATTGAAGTAATCACATTACTTTTTTGGATAAAATTGGGGCACAGTATTTGATGAAACTTTTTTTTAAAAGGGGAGTAAACAAGTAACCTTTAAACACGTGAGTAAACTTTTATCAATGACAGAATCACTTCTTCCAACAAATACTTTTATTAAGAAATGACACACCCAAACCATTCAATGTCAAGAGAATCTGGCGTTGTAATGCTGGCACGAGCAAACACAATCTTTTAAACACATGGAATCTCTTTAAATCTCTCTTTGGCTGATACTAATGAAATACTTTTATCAAAGAATGGCAATCCCTACAGCACTAAAACCCGGGCTATAAAGCAAAGGCAGGAGAAGGAGGGTGAGGGGGGGTATCATTGAAAATACTTTAGGACTTTGGTTATATTTTTATATTTGCTGTTATCTAACAGAATTTACAGGAAAACAGAATGACCCATTCCACAAACACATGAATATCATGGCATTCAACACAAATGAAAAGTAAAAACAACCGAGCTAAAGAAAAGAGTGAAATGACATGATATTAGAATCAATTTCAAAAAGACAATACAAAAGGACTTGAAATGTTCATCAATTAGACAGAAACATAAGCTCCATTCCAAAAAAAAGGTACTCTTGCATAAAGACTTATGTGCGACGGATAGAAAGGGGGTTGGTGCAGGTTTTTTTATTATCTCCAGGCATTGTACACTGGGAGCAACATTGCCTACTCGTAGTCTCACCCCTGGATGGAATTTGACACTTCTAGGGTCTTCCAGGTTGGCGTTTAGAACATGAGGGAGGTCTACACAAAATACCCGACACAACCTCTGGAACAACCCAACTGTCTCTATAGCCAATGGGTGTATAATGCCTTCATATGCTGCAATCCACTTAGAAGTAGTGTAGTATTTTGATATAAACTCATAGCATGAAACACTTGGGCGTGTACGAATAGCTGCAACAGCATGAACACATACGAAGTGATCGGTCTAGAACTCACAACAAGTTCAAGTCCTGGACTGAAGATTAACTACAAAAGCCCTTCCATTGGTGTCCAAAACATGGAACTCATACTCACACGATGGGCGAACCTGAAAAAAATACTCTCAAAGTATGAAAAACATATAGTCATAAGAAAATGCATTGTGGCAGTAGAATAAAATAAATGAAAAAGAAACAAGAATGTGAATATAATGCCTTGTGAGACGTACACTCATGACTGCAGACGAAGCATGTAGCTCATTCAACTTTGCTTCATAATGCCTTGTCAGAATAGATGACGTAGAATTATCCAAGGTTCTCCGTTCATGGAACCATTTTTGCATCCTCACAATTATGAAATCAATAAGTTGTGCAATGGGATACTCGCGGACTAAAGCATCAACACTGTTCATTGACTCAGCGTTGTTTGATGTCATGATTGAGTATCGATTGTTTGCTGATTCTGCCCGAGACCACTTCGAAAATCCAATGCGTGCTAGATATGGCTGAATAGCTGGATCCTCCTCATCTAACAATTTCATATACCAATTCCGTTCACGCACAGTTGCAGCCTTTGCAACACGAATAAACTTCCATGTAACAGCTTTTGTAGAGCCACGGAATGACATCTTAATGTTACCAAGAATGTGATATATACAATGTCCATGCATAACGTTTGGGAAAACAGATTGCACAGCACTTATAATGCCATCATGGCGGTCAGACACAATATACTTCACTTCTTGAGCTACAAGGACCTCTTTAACCTTTTTTAAAAACCACATCCAATTCGTAGTGTCTTCAGCATCACATATGGCAAAGGCCAGTGGGAATATTTGTTTGTTCCCATCATGTGCAACAGTGGTTAGAAGCGTGCCTTTGTAGTATGACTTCATGAATGACCCATCTATAATCAAAACTGGAATGCAGTGAGCCCATCCATCTTTCCAAGCACATAGAGACATGAAGAAATACTTAAAGAACCCATTATCAAATGTGTTAAGCTCAATGGTGGAACCTGGATTTGAATTTTTTAGCATATAACACATAGATGGCAGCATTGCATATGGCTCTTCATCTGATCCAAAACTTAATTTCAAAGCCTTTTCTTTCGCAAACCATGCTTTCTTATAATTCATAAAAATTCCATGGTCGCTACGCATGTCTGATATTATGGACTTTGGAGGATACGGCTTCTGCGTCACATCATTGAACTGATGTTTGATAAGCTTAGCAACAACGGAAGAAGTAGCCTGGCGAGTCTTACCATGTCTAACATCAACAGGACACTGATGTTCAAAGTCATACCTAGGAGAATATACTTGCTTCAGATGATGACAAATAGGTGCATTGAAGTGTAAATACTAAAAACACATGCTAATGTACACTTTTGAACTAATGTACACTTTTGTTAAATCATAAAAACCAAGCCATCCGGCGTTCGGGTTTTAGAAACCGGCGTTCGGCTCTCGGTTATCGGCTATGGTTTTTGGCGTCCGAACCAACCAAGTGGTTTTAATGACTTAAACATGTTTGAAAAACATTTTTATGATTTAAGAAATGCAATGAAGGATTTTAGCCTAAAGAGCCAAGGTGTTAAGATTGGGTCGGTCTTGATCACAATGAAGACCGACTCAACGACACTAAGACTAAGGTCTTCGTTCTTGGTCTTCTTTTAGCTCTTGTTCTTGTCTTCCTTCTTCGCCTTGTATATTCAAAGTTTGACTTGATCACGGCGGTTTGGCATTATCAAAACCTGTCATAAAAACAAACACGGCTTTAGTACGAAAACGTGACATGCCCGTGTTTCAACAGATATAAATACAAATTACAAGCCAACACGATAGGCCCACAATATTACAAAATAATATACATAAAATAATATGTACATAATATACGCTAACACTCCCCCTCAAGTTGGAGCATAGAGATCAAAAATGCCCAACTTGGACAAAAGAGAACGGAAAAGAGGACCGGGGAGCGCCTTCGTGAAGATGCCTGCTGTCTGCAACCGTGTAGGAACATAGGCTGTGACAATATGAGCGCGCTGGAGGCATTCCCGAACTATATGACAGTCAATATCAATATGTTTTGAGCGCTCATGAAATACCGGATTAGCCGCAATGAAGAGAGCGGACTTATTATCACAATACAAACGCGGAGTAGCAACACAAGGGACCTGTAAAGCGGCCAAAAGACCACGGAGCCACCTGATTTCAGCGCAGGCGTTAGCCATGGCGCGGTACTCTGCCTCTGTAGACGAACGGGACACGGTAGTTTGCTTCTTAGTGCGCCAAGAGATAGGGGACCCACCAAGAAGCACAAAATAACCGGTGACAGAACGGCGAGTGATCGGACAACTAGCCCAATCTGAGTCTGAATAGGCAGTCAAAGTCAGGTCACTATCTCGACGAAGGAGGATACCCTTTCCTGGATGCCCTTTAAGATACCGGAGAACACGAAGATCCGCGGTCCAATGGTCTAGACGTGGAGC